TTTTGCACTCAGAGATCAAACTGAATTGGCAACGAGTTTTTATAAAAAATAGTCAAAATTTAACCCTCAAATTCATAAATGTCAGTTTTTTAAAATACTTTCAAATATAGCCAAAAACTCACTTAAATTGACCCAAATGCCCTCTAAATTAAAACCTAACCAAAAAGCATGCTCTTCCAAGTCGTAAGCTACTGAGCACAAGCCTCACTCTCTACCCAGCCTACCCTCAAACACAAGGACACTGCCCCTCGCCAATCACCCTTAATGGAAAGCAAAGTTAATATAGGCAATGATGGGGAGATGGTATCTCAAACACGAACCTCCAACGAAACTATAGCAACACTAGAAATATAGAACGAGCTCACAATTTGCGGCTAAACTTAGCTGCGTTTTCTGAATAAATTCACTAATTCAATCTGACCAAATGGTCTACAAGAGAAAGGTTTAAATAACAACTAAATCCTAGGAATATAAGGAATTATAATTCTAGTACAATAAGGAAACCCAAAATAGAAGGAAAACATAAAAGGAAGTCAATCAGCAGTAGGAAAGGTCTCCTAATTTATTTTGGGATATAATCTTTAAGGTAATTAGGAGGTTTAACTGATCTCTTGGGCTTCCCTAGTTTGGCTTGGGATGCTCCTGCATCAGGCAAGTTTGTGTTGTGGGAAGATAGTCTATGAACAATGAGGGCCTTGCAATTTTTCTAGACCTCTTGTGCTGAAGGAAGGTTTGCAAGAAAGTTTAACCCCCATATCATATGCATACTAGCAGTATTTATGATACAAATTTTGCGAGAAAGTTCAACCTTTTTTCTCAATTAAAAATTATTATGTCAAGAAACTGACTTTAACTTTTTTTATTGTAAAAAACTCTCAAACCCATGAATCAAGCCATAGTCACAAAGATGATTTTTATTGCTTGGATTTATGAAAACATCCGCTGTTACTTTTCTTCTTCTTTTTGGTAATTACATTGTCATTTTTATAATAGGATTCATAGGCATGATTAAGTTGACGAAGCCAATCTTGTTTTTGTGCTCCTACAGTTTTGGGTTTTAGCTTTTAGGTGTAATTAAGTTATAATTTAGAGGGTATTTGGGTCAATTTAAGTGAGTTTTTGGCTATATTTGAAAGTATTTTAAAAAACTGACATTTATGAATTTGGGGGTTAAATTTTGGCTATTTTGAAAAGGTTGATTTCATTCCATTAGAAGGGAGGAATAATAGGCATGTAAAGTGTGGCCTCGTTAAAACCTTCCCGGAGAAAACCACAAGGGAAAAACCCCGGGGTAGGAAAGAGTACCACCTATGCCAATAACGTACAGAACAAGGAAAATTACATAACATCAGAAAACAGAACATCCTGTAGGAAAACTGGGGGATCAGTAACCCATTCTGCTGCTTCCTGGGAGTGTAGAGCATAGTGTGCCAGGCGAGTTGCAACCCCATTAGCCTTCCTCTCTGTAAACCTCAAATAGACACGCTCTTGTTTGGCTATTTTTGATAAAAACTCATTGGCAATTGCAGGATCACCCTTTCCCTATTTAGACTTATTACCCCATAAACACTCATGATCAAAAGAAGATGAGTCAAATATCTACTTCTTATCACATTAAGATTAAATGCAGTCTGAAGGTTGCAATATGCCAAATCAGAAGACCTGCAATTATGGGTACCAAATCAGAAGACCTGCAATTATGGGCACCAAATCTCATAAATAATGAAGTATCTTTTCCATCTGTTCAAAACCCATATTAATTTTTTCTCTGTTTTGTACAGATAGACTTGTGATTCACTTGAACTTCCAAGTTTCAAATCCAATTAAGTTGTCGAGTAGGGTTATTACGGTGGTTAATCCCTCCTCCTTTCCCTTTGCTTGGCACCCAGGATCGAACCTTCAGGATTTCTTTCCTCCAAATGTAACAAAAAAATTTCGAGTTAAGTTAGATTCAAAATGCTTGGACATGTACAACTTTTTTGGGTCAACATCAAAATGCTTGGCCAAAAAAGGCACCAAAATGGTAGTAATACTAATAACAAGCTTGTGAAATACTCCTATAAACCCACAAAAGTTGAATTGTCAATCCTTTTCTCGATTGTCCAACAATCCAACGAGTACGCTACTAGCAAAATATGATTAACTTTGGGTTTCTTTTTCCACTTGATTATGTGAACTGTGTGTCACCTTTTCTTCCAAGTCAGCAAACCTATTGAGATCCTAAGTGTCAAAGATGTCAAAGATGTCAAAGATCTAAAATCAATCCAACTTCAATAATTGGGTGAAAACTGCATCAAGTCATGAACTCATACATAAGAAAGAGGTCATATTTCTATGGAAATAAAATCAAAGCATGCATGCCCAATTGTTTGTCTAAGTTCTTTAAGTCAATATAAGCAATATGAGGTCCAAAACAATCAATTGGGCACAATTTTCCAACCAGAAAGTGATGAAATTGCGCGCATAATTGTATACCACACCAACCAAAATGAAACAGAGACTAATTATTTTTCTGGCTTCTTTTTTATATTGCCTACTCTTATTGGTTGGCAGCCAAATGTGGCCAAGAGGCTGGACCAGTGGATTTGAGTTTTGTTGTTTGACTGAAATATATGCAAGCCCAGTGAGACCATGCATGAATTTATGCAAATCACATGTGACATACAAAGCTTTTTGTGTATCTCATTTTGCCATTGTTTTTAACAAAAAGAAGGAAGCAAACTTTGGTCCCAATTGTTTACTTAAGATGATTTGTTAGCCCATCCATTACACTGCCCACATGCTATGCTGCAGAATTTCTTGCGTAAGAACACCCACCAAAAAAAAACAAAAAAAGTTGCTGAAAAATGAGAAAGACAGGCAACGCATGTCTTCCGTACATAGTTCACTGGCTTTGGAGTTCCCAAGCTCTTCCTCTGATATTTATTTTTGGTTTTCTGCTCTTGTTTTTTGCAGTGCAGAAAAATTCTGGTGGCGGCTTTTTTTGTTTTGCCTTGAGAGAACACCAGATTATTCCTATGCAGAAAATTTAGTTGCCGTCTGTCAGGATACCAGCTCCGAATTCAGATGTTCTCAGTTCGATGTGACTGGTTAATTAATATTTTCAACTCAATATGTCATGCTATTGCTTTTGTTCTCACTCATTTTGAAGAGAATACTAATGTTGACTTCTGATTTCTGGAAGTAAACACGCACGCAAAATAAGAATGCCATTGGGAAAAATGATGTTGATTTTATTGTGAACCCGTTTCATACTACGAGCACGAGTTACAGGTGCAGGGTAAACACTCTTATTTCTAAATCATCAGCTTTCATCAATATTGAAAATGCCTACGACTAATCAATTGTCAATTAAATCTTCAAATTCACACATATTTCCATGACAAACTGTGATTGACCTCTAACATTGCCGTACAAGAGTATCTTTTGTTTTGGACGCCGTACAAGAGATCTTAGATTTAAAAAGGAAGAAAAAAGTAAGAAATCTTGTTCATATATATATAAAGTAAAAGGTAGAGAATGGTGAAATATTCCAAATATCAGAAAATGTCATTGGTTAATACAAACATTAAGAATTGGAATTATTAATTAAATCTATATCTATATATATAAAGCAAAATGCAGAGAATGGTGAAACATTCAAAATACCAAAAAATGTTCTTGGTTAATCCAAACATTAAGAATTAAAATTATTAATTAAATGAGGATAATATGGTAAATTCACACTTTTTCATATTTTAAAAATTAAAATTAAAAGAAAAATAAGATAATGAATCCTATTTTTATGTAACACAACTACCTATTATCTTTTTTAATTCTAAAATAATTTTTATTATTATTTTAAAAAGCCTCTCATTTATTTATTATTTTTTTTAAAAGCCTCTCGCAGGCGCCAAAGTGCGTGTGGAGAAGCTAGTCTATATAAAGTAAAAGGCTAAAAATGGTGAAACATTCAAAATACAAGAAAATGCCCTTAGTTAATGCAAACATTAAGAATTGAAATGATTAATTAAATGAGGATAATATGGTAAATTCACATTTTTTCATATTAAAAAAAATTAAAATTAAAAGAAAAATCAAATAATTGATCCCATTTTTATGGAACACAACTACCCATTATGTTTTTTAATTTGTAAAATAAAAAAAACCTCTCTTAGGAGCGAAGCTCATGCAAAGAGGCTAGTTTCTCTTTAATAGAATTAAATATCAATTTCTTATTATTATTGTTTAAATACAAGCAATAGTCTAAATTAGAGTTTCTCACACACACAATTTATGTTATGGGGGTTCAAACTTGAGACCTCTAGTCTACAAGTCAAGACCCTTTTTCATCGACGATGTCTAGTTGAGCATAAAATGATATTGACTTACATACAAGAGGTCTCAAGTTGAACCCCCATGTCATCAATTATGTGTGTGTGTGAGAAACCCATTTTCCTTGTTGTTTAGAACGAAAAAGGGCCTTGACTTACATACCAGAAATCTCAAGTTAAACCTCTATATCATCAATTATGTGTGTGTGTAAAACCCCCTCTCCTATAATTTAGAGTCATTATCACTTGTACTGGAAAAAATCTACTTCTTAAGTTGATGAATCAATTGGCATTAGCATTCTTTAACATTAAGAAATTGACCATCTGTAGCAAACAATCAACAAAAACCAAAAAAAAAAGGAAAGAAAAGGCGGCATGACTTTTCTTGACACGTAACTTGTAACTTGCGCACGTATCCCTTGAAAGTTCGATTCTTTATAACGACCTTCTCTTCTTCCCTCCCTCCCTCTTTCTGTTTATTTCCGTAAGTGGCTTCATTGAGCACAATTTCACTAGAAACTTTGAAACCCGAGTTCGGATCTTTAAGTTCTGCTTCTATCTTCCACTATTTTCCATTTGGGTGCTCTTCTTCTTCACCAGTTACAAAACCCATTTCAATATACACAGATTTAGTGGTACCAGACCACTGTGTTGAACTTACCATTGACTAAGAGCATTGGGGCCTGAATGGCAAGGCAAATGGACACAGAGTCTGCTTCTGTTTTACGGGGTTTTCGACCGGTGAGTGTTACTACTTTCTCTGTTTCGTTATGTTCCTATGCCCATTGTTTTGCTTTCTTTCTGTGTTTGTTTCCGGGGAAAGTAAAGTAAGCAACATGGGAGAGGAAAGAGTGAAATTTTTGAGTCTTGTGTCACCATTTTTTGTTTTTGGAAAATGGGTTTTGTTGTTTTTGATTTCAAACACTTTCAATCTTTATCATGTGTTTTCTTCCGGAATGTTCTTAGCAACCAAACGACAGATGCATTTTCTTTTTTATTTTATCACTATCTTTTGGTCTATGACTATCGATCTTATCGACTTAGACTATATCTCATTGTCATTTTTGTATTCCTGTAGGAATCTGACTTGTTATTTGTGTTCGTACAATCACCGAAATTCCTCGTTTTCCATGTTACTTTTGGCTGTGATATAAAGTTTATGTTTTTCCATTTGTTTGGGTATGTTAGCTGATTCGGGACAGTTGCTAAATAATTTTTGTCGTGCTTATATGTGTTGTTTTGTAAAATTATATTTTATCTATTCAAGAAAACTAAGTTGAGTTTTCCCATGTCAATCACCTTCATGGCTTCTTAGTTTTCTTTCACTGGTGCTGCATAAACCAGAATTTTTACAGGCTTTCATCCTTAAATTCACGAATTCAATCTACCTTTATTTGCCTTGTTAGTTTAGTACTTCTTCACTTCTAACTAAGTGATCCTTCTGTTTGAGAATCATCAATTCATTTGGTTGCATTGAAGACAAAGGATGTGAGAAGAACTCACTGTGTCCGAACTCCAGGATACCTGGAGTTGATTTCAACATCCACAATTGTCGGTCTAGAGAGTTTAATATGGTTGTGGACTGGATTAACTCATTATAGAGCACACATTTTGTCTTAATTCTGTTCTGCATTTCTTTTCTTATTGGTTTTTCCTCTGCTTGGTTATATTAGTAAATGGAATTCAGTTTACTTTAAAATTTGCAAACATAGTAACACTTATCTTACTTGTTTTATTTGCAGAATCTGTACAAGACAACTCTATGCCTTGCTTATCAGAGCCTTGGTATTGTTTATGGGGATCTAAGCATATCCCCCATATATGTCTACAAAAGCACTTTCTCAGGTGATCTGAATCTTTATGAGGACGATCATGAGATTCTTGGAGTACTTTCTATCGTTTTCTGGACTTTGACTCTTATCCCCCTTTGCAAGTACATTATATTTGTGTTAGGAGCAGATGACAATGGTGAAGGTACTTACAGTAACCTCAGTTAACTTTAGCATATCTGGGTTTGAGATTATAATTGGTTCATGTTGGACGTTTGAGATTCACTTTTAGTTTTACAGGTGGAACTTTTGCTTTGTATTCATCACTATGCCGGCACTCAAGAATGGGCCTTTTGAACACAGTTCATCCTGCACATGAACGTATATCTTCTTACTGTTCTGAAATACCTACCAAGGATACAAGAATGAGCTTACTCATAAAAGAATTCTTTGAGAAGCATAAGAGTTCTCGAATAGTATTGCTACTTGTAGTTTTCCTAGGAACTGGCATGATAATTGGTGATGGTATCCTTACTCCAACAATGTCTGGTATGATTTCTAAAATTATCTCTCTGGCCTTTCTGATTGACCCTTTCTTCAATTGAACATGGGAGAATCTTCCAGTTCATGGTTTCTCTCTGCAGTCACTGATGTTGACCTAATGAGGTTTTGTTATATATGCTGGCAGTTCTTTCTGCAGTTTATGGAATCAGAATTAAAGCTCCGGATTTACATGAGAGTAAGTGAATCACAAATAAATAAATAAAATGTTCTTTGTGTGATTCTTTCGACGTCATGGGTGTCAATATGAAAATTTAAATCTTGTATAAGGATTTTTGCATCGGCAATACATGGAGTTGAGTTGAGGTGAATGAATATTGCGCAGCATTACTTATTGTCTGATATCATGCAATATAATTTTCACTCAATTTTTATGGAGAACTACCTTTTCTAATTGCATTTTACATTCATACATGGCAGATTATACTGTGTTCATAGCTTGCATCATCTTGGTCGGGCTTTTTGCTCTTCAGCATTATGGGACACACAAAGTTGGGTTTCTTTTTGCTCCAATCATGTTATATGGTTGCTATGCATTTCTGGGGTAGGCATGTACAATATCTTCCGCTGGAACCCTCGTGTTATAGGTGCTTTGTCACCCTACTATATTTATAACTTCTTTAGAAAAACTGGAAGAATTGGGTGGAGTTCCCTTGGAGGCGTTGTTCTTTGTCTGACAGGTTGGTTGATAGGAAAAAGGTTCTCTGTCGCCCTACTATATTTATTTCTAAGGCTAAAATAATATTTGTCTATGACAGGTACAGAAGCAATGTTTGCTGATCTTGGGCATTTTTCCAAACTCTCTATCAGGGTAGCTTATTCGCATATCTTAATTTGACTCTTTGAAGCATAAAACTGCTTAATAGTTGTTTAGTTGTTTTTTAAGGATTTTTGGTTGATGGACAATTTTCTCTTGCTTGTTTCTAGCGGTACCACCCATGTATAGCTGTTTTTCTTCGTTCTAGCCATTTATTTATGACTATTTTTTTTTTCTTTTTTCTGGCAGATTGCATTTACAGGCCTTGTTTATCCTTGCTTAGTCCTGGCATACATGGGAGAAGCTGCTTATCTCTCCAAGAACAAAATGGATATTAGTAGCAGTTTTTACAAGGCCATCCCTGGTAAAGCTTGATTAATATATCTTTCTGGTGTAATGCACCAGCTAGTTGTTTTAATGAAAAGCCATTCTTCTTATTAGGGAACTAAATTTCAATTCTCAAAAGCAATGATTTCGACAAGTTTAGCTTCCACTTCCAATTTAAGGCATGTCATTATTCTTGGGTATAGCAGGCTTTAAAGTATTGGGCGATTATTTTTAATATCCATTATATCATTAGCTTTTTTACTGTGTAGTGAACCTTTATTGTAGCTTCTGAATCTTTAGAAGTGTCAATCTGATCTCTTTTTGCTATTCAGAGGTTATGTTTTGGCCGGTACTTATTATCGCAACTCTTGCTTCTGTGGTGGGAAGTCAAGCAATAATTTCAGCTACCTTCTCAATAGTCAGTCAGTGCAGGGCACTGAGGTGCTTCCCACGTGTGAAGATCAAACATACATCAAATCAGATACATGGGCAGATATACATACCTGAGGTGAATTGGATGTTGATGATGTCATGTCTTGCTGTGGTTATTGGATTCAGAGACACTCGTATGATAGGCAACGCATATGGTTTGTACTCTCTCTCTCTCTCTCTCTCTCTCCTCTGCAGTTTTGCGTTTCTGAAATAAGCATTTTTACACCATGTTGCATGTTCAGGGCTTGCTGGAGTGACAGTGATGTTCATCACAACCTGCTTGATGTTTTTAATTATTAGCACGGTTTGGAAGAAAAATGTTCTTCTGGCAGTCTTGTTTTTCGTAGTCTTCGGATCTCTAGAACTACTCTATATTTCTGCCTGTCTTGGTAAAGTACATCATGGAGGCTGGCTTCCCCTCCTATTCGCTCTTGTAATTGTGTCTTTGATGTCTATCTGGAATTATGGGACCATGAAGAAAGATGCATTTGAGCTGGAAAACAAGGTATCATTGGACAGGCTTCTAAGCCTTGGGCCAAGCCTAGGTATAGCAAGGGTCCCTGGAATCTGCCTACTTTACTCTAATGTTGCCTTTGGTCTACCTCCAATGTTTGCACATTTTGTCACAAACTTCCCTGCATTTCATCATACTCTCATCTTTGTGACCCTTAAGTCTTTGATGGTTCCAAAAGTTCCAGTTGTTGAGCGTTTTCATGTAAACCGAATTGGCCCACCAGAGTTATCTATTTTCCGGTGTATTGTAAGGTACTTTCCATAAAATTTTTGTGGTATGAAGCTGAACTTCATCATGTTTTGCATGAAACTGAATTTTGATTCTTAAATATTCTGAATCAAGAATAGTTCTTGAAATTCTTTAATGCTGTTATGAATCAGGTATGGATACAAGGAAGTGAGAGATTGCTACAACTTTGAAACCCAACTGATTGAAAAGGTGGCAGAGTTTTTGAAACAGGAGAGTACTATTGAAGACATGACAGTTAGAGGGCAGTCACCAAACCATATATCTGCTGCAGTGGGAAACGAGGTTTGTCATGACATTGCTGAGCAGCGGAGGAAGGAGGTTAGTGGGGGCAGTGGTGAGCAGTGGAGTAACACAGGGTTTCAAAGTTTGGGATCCTGTCAGGAGATGAAGAAACTCATGGAGGCAAGGGAAGCTGGTGGCGTGGCCTACATGATGGGCAATCCTTATATTGTGGCAAGTGGGGTATCACCATTCCTGAAGAAGTTTGCCATTAACATTGTCTATGGTTTTCTGAGACGGAATTGCAGGCATCCAGCAATTGCACTTGGAGTTCCACATACCTCACTGCTTGAAGTGGGAATGCTTTATCAGGTGTAACTATAGCATGTAGTAAATAAACTCAGAGGTAAGAAAGGAGGTTGACAGAGAAAAGTTCTTTTCTTTACCAAGCTTTTTATTTGATGAAATAGAAATGCAGTTGATATGGGGCATTGACAGGATGTTTATGGTTAGCAAATATAGGGAAAAATGTGCTTAGCTGTGGATATGGTGCAAGTTGTAATCTGATCATAGGAAACTAAATGAAGTGCTAACAGCCAACACTCTTATGTACTTCACGAGATATATATAATAAACAAGAAAAATGTTTTGGCAAAAAACTCATGTACATGGTGTTTTCCTTTTGCAACTTATTTACACTAACCTTCTCCATGTTCCATTGGTTTATAAGAGGAAGAACTTAATGATACATTTTCTCAGGCATATAAGTCCCCGACTCCCCAACCCGGGTGTTGGGACCCGGGACCTACACTTTGATTCTAAACTTGGCAGCTAGGACCCTGTTGAAGAATATGAAGTCCCACAAGTTTGATTCTAAACTCAGATTCAAATTTTCAAACCAAACAAACTCCTTTTCTCATTCCAGTCCATTCCACAACCAAACACCCACCTTAGAGTTTGCGTATGAAAATTGGACACCCAATTGAGGATTGATGATAATAAATTTGGTAATATAAAAATTGACAAATAGCCATATACATATGGTATTATATTGTATGGCTATGGAGCTGCAACATATCCTAGTTAACTTGAAACTTAATTTGATAGCCTAGGGGCCAACTGCCTGGTGATGAAAAGTCAATTGTGTGACCACAAATCACTCCCTTAAATCAATGCCTTATAGGGGCAGCCTCACACTTGTTGCCTGTCAACTTTTGGGGTTTGCGTTTCATTAACAAATTATATAACATCTTCCACTATATCAACCTTAGTGCACAGAACATATTTTCTCAGGCATTTCTCTCTCTCTCCCTCTCCAAGCAAAAGGCAGGCTCTATGTATTATTTTCTTTAGCTGCCTATAGCATTTTCTTCAATGCATCTAGATATCTACTTATTCTTGCTGTATTTCTCTTGGCTTCACTTTATGTGTTCTTGGCCATAGAGAAAGCCAAAATCTTTCATGAACTGGCAGCTTTGGCTTGTAAGCAAGAGGGCAGGAACTTGGTTCATCTGCAGTTTCAGGAGACCTCTGCATATAATCATTCAAATGGCTCATAGTACAATGATTTTCGAGACCGGTGAGATGATATTGATTAGAAGATCTAAAGAAATGGACGGCTGTGATCGTCATGTCAACCATGAAATCTTATGTAACAATCATACACAAGTAAATTGTAGTTCTTTTTGGGGCTTCAGTTAGTAAAATTATTGTCGGTTCCAAAAGGAAAATATTGTATACCAATTATAATATATGATTTGCTTAATACATCTCTATTCTGGGCTCCACTTCAAACCCATTTGCTAGATTTTATTGGGAACTTGCAGTTTTGGAATTTGTCATTATAGAAGGCCCCATACTTTTGAGACTGGCTTTATGGACCTCACCAATGGGTCACTATTTGGTGTGGGTTGTCCCAGGTGAGCCACTAGAGTCTATCTCTGGTGAGAGTATCATTTTACTACCGGCATGATCGAAGTTTGACTTCAATCATACCATTTCTTGGGTTGAAACAAATAAAAACTTTTGCTACATGAGCAATATGGCATACCTGCGAACGCCTTATTCTCAACTGAAGAGATTTTTGGGTGTTATTGGTTATACACGCTCTTTAATAAGTCACGTGATGAGAGAGATAGATTTACAGATACATACAAGAATCATCGTTAATTGTGGTAAAAGAGATATTTTGGAATCCCAATGAAATAATATGTTGACGTATCATTTAACAACTTTCAATGGTTAGATAGATGGGAGATATTTTAATACAAAAACAATTTTGTCAAGGAGAGAATCTAATTACTCAGCATGACTAATGAATTTTCCATGGCTTCTTATTGAAAATGAAAATTTTCTTTATTTTCAGACAACATTTATGATCATATCAAGCTACTTGTATTTAAGTTTTCACAACATGAATGTTATTCGAGATAACCTTTTTTAAAAAAAATTAACATGCAAAGAATATTAGGGCACTTATTTAATTCATAATGACCGTTGGAGCTTGCCACTCCAAGGGGACAAACATGGAATTTCAGACGTCATATGTCTGATAATCGGAAAAATTCCTAGCCGTTACAACAGCTCGCGATCTCGTGAATACCCGCATACGCTAGGGGCAATTTTGGAATACAGCATTCAAATTATTCAAAGTTCGACCGTTATAAGACTAGAAAACCTCGCGACCGTTTCAAAAAAAACACAACTCAGCCCCAACTCTCACTCTCTTTATCTATACAAATCCATGGCCGACGAGAACGCAAACCAGTCAATCATGGAACCAAAATCATGGCACCCTCTTCACCAAATCGCAGAGTCTCCAAGCCACAAGCTTCTGCTTAAGCAATGGCTGAAAGAAGAAGAGCTAATCCTCAACAGGGTCTCCCTGAAAGAGAACCAAATCGACTCCGTTCGCAAAGAGATCACAATGCTCTTCATATTCTTCTTCCTCTTCCACTCCACAGCTCTCATCCTTCTCTTCAGTTCCTCCTCGAGGGACCCACATGGGTTCGCATGCCGCCGGTCTTGGATCCCGTCACTCTGTTCTCTCTGCTTCTCTCTGGGGATCATTTGGGCCATAAGGTACAAGACTGACATGGAAGGTCACTTGGAGAAGCTTCTGGAGAGAGAAAAAGAGGATAAAAATCTTCTTGGTAAGTGCATCGAGGAGTTGAAGAAGAAGGGTTTGGAATTTGATTTGTTGAAGGAAGTTGATGCACTTAGGAGGGCCAAGAGTTTGAGAGTTGAAGCTAAAGAGGTGAGGAAGTGGTCTGCTAGGGACTTTGTAACTTTGTTTTTCTTCACAGTGTCTTGCTTTGTGCTTGTTATCACAAGGGCTATTTTGTGTAACTAGGAGTTTGACAAATGGGGTAGATTTTGGGATTGGATTGGTTGGTTCTTAGATTCATGTTCTATTTTGGGTTGGATGGCTTTTGCCAGAAGATTTTGGATTCTGTCAAAGAATTGGTGGTGGGATAAATTGGAAGCAAAATGACTGCAGAATGTTTTGTTCTGCTTATTTGTAATTTGGGGAATTTACAATGACGTAGTTATGAAGCAAATTTGGATGACTGCTTATGTTGTTGGCCTTGGCATGTTCGTTATAATTTGTTTGTTGTTCTTGGATTCATTATAAGCTTACTGTGATTGACGATCATTAATTAGTTTGATCCCATTTTAAAATTAACCTTAATGCTTTAAAAGAGGCAAAATGCCTCAGCAAACACTTCAAGTTTGATGGCCAACAAGTCAAACAAGTTGAAGCATCACATCTGGTCTTTTTTTTTTTATTGGAACCTGCGAGGAGAAAATTATTAAAGAGAAGAAGTAAACAACAGGGATAACTTACCAAACTCAACAAAACCAACTCCAAGGATGGGATCAAACTAAACACACAAAATCAACGAAAGCGAAACATGGAAAAACTCACTAAATCTTTACCATAAGCGGTAGAGCCCACGTAGGTAAGGAATCCCACCAGTAATAGGCAGGATTATCATCACCAAAATTTGTTAACATATATGCGACACAATTACCTTCCCATAAATGTGAGTGCAAACAAAATTCATCTGCACAGGGAAGCCCAAATCTTAATTCATTGCAATGCAATCAAAAATCACCACAGATCCAAGGATGAACATGAGGCTTCCAAATAAGAGCACAACTCAATGGAAACCTTGAGAGAAACCAAACTTTGCCCAAATTGATAAGCAAGTGAATCAATCGGTACTTAACCATTAGGTTCTAGCTAGTACCCAATTGAAATATAGATGAATAAGTCCCAAAGGCACCTGCTAAAGTTCCAAGTACAATTAGTCCTACTATGCCTAATAGCTTGTACTTCCAGCTCCTATAGCAAATTCTACAATAGATGAATAAGTCCCTAAGACACCTGCTAAAGCTCCAAATACAATTAGTCCTACAATGCCTAATAGCTCGTAGTTCCAGCTCCTATGGCAAGCAGAAAGCTTGAGATAGCACATGCACGGGATAATGAATGAAACCGAAACAGTAAATATTGAGCCGACAATCGCCGTGAGGGTCTCATAGTAGGGGAAGACATAGGCAATCATAGTGGAGATGACCAGTAATGCCATCCGTATAAGCAGTTTAACAGGTCTCCAAGTTTTGTAGTCTTTCTGAAAGTCCACTTTCAATGGCATCAGCTACTGGGGTTACTACTACGGCGATTGTCGGCTCAATATACCACCAGCTACTGGGGTTGCAATATGCAACGGCAGGGTGCCCAAGCCACAAGGATTAGTTATGGCTGTTGGGCTTTCTTTTTTCCTTTTTCCTGAATTTTTAGTTTTCTATTTTAATTTTATTAGAAGTTAACTCTGTTATATGAGGAGTTAAGTAAATGGACAGGTGTCATGCAATTATATAGGGGACAGAGAGGGGATAAGTAAAATGGGGACCGAATGGCTTCTAGCCTAGCCCACCATCAATTATTGCTTAATGGGGCTGCTTTTTTATTTTTCATTTTGCATATAAATGATATTCAAACGTAGCACCTCGGGTGTAAAAGTAAATGCTTTTAATCACTTGAGCTACAAGCCTTGTTAGAGTTAGCTTTGTTTTTAGGAAGAGTTCGTTTTTGCTAGACTGTATACTTTGGTTTTAGCCTGAACTTTTCCAAGTTTACTTTTGTACTTGCTGGGATCAGTTCATTCGGCTTGAAAGCAGCCAATCCTAATTGGAGAGTATGGTATTTTCTTTGCGGAATGCTTCATCTGCAATCTACTCAAATCCCAAAAGGAAACTAACCATTTCAGAGTAGTTGAATTAGAAGGAAAAGACAGAGAGAAAGCAATAATGGTAACCATATTCAAGCAATGGGAAATACGTAGAGACAAGGTATACAAGTCTCTGTCTGGTCCAGACCAGGGTTTATAGTTCATGTCCTCTCTGTATCTTCCTTGAATTCACCTTAATGATTGCTTGGAAAATCCATTAATATTTACAGGGTTTTGATGGAAATACCCGTTTAACGCGGCATTTTAGGTGAATGAGATATTTGATGAAAATACACCTTTAAAGTTGGTCACGTAATGAAATTTTATCGGATGAAGGACCACATTGATTGATTTGAGAATTTTGAAAACTAAAATAAAAACTTTGAAAAAATTCACGGACACTAGTGATAAACAAACCCACATCTATAATAAGGTACATAAACAATGTGGTTCAGAAACCAGAAATCAAAGGTACTTTCGAATTGAGATGATGAGAAACTAATTGTATATTCAGAAACCAGAAATCAAAGGTACCCACCAGGTTCATAGTCATCTGATGAGACCATGCTAGATTGCGAGCTCATTATTCATGTAAGCCATGTGATGGATTATTGTAGTGTGATATATTATAATTTCAATGCTAAAATGTGTAAGTGTGACAATTTCTTGGTAGACTGAAGTTCAATACAATTATTCAATACTCTTGAACAAGTTCTGCAATCGATGAGTAAGTCCCTAAGACACCTACTAAAGTTCCAAATGCAATTATTCCTACACTGCCTAATAGCTTGTAGTTCCAGCTCCTATAGCAAGCAGAAAGCTTGAGATAGCACATGCAGGGGAGAATGAAGGAAACCGAAACAGTAAATAGCGAGCCGACAATCGCCATGAGGGTCTCATAGTAGGGGAAAACATAGGCTACCGCTGTGGAGCTGACTAGCAATGCCATCCTTATAATCAGTTTAACAGATCTCCAATTCTTGTAATCTTCTGAAAGTCCACCTTCAATGGCATTAGCTACTGGGGTTACCATCAACGCATATCTTGCGATTGGAATAAGTAGAATGGTGTATATTGCAACTCTTGCACTCACTTCTGTTGTTGGTAGATTCAAACTGATCTGCGATTCGACACCATCTCCATACATAAGATAGCCCGTGACTGCGGTTACCATGCAAGTGATGGTTATGAGTAGAAAGCTAAAGAACACAACCTGCATATCAATCAACAAAGGATTAGGTTATTAAAAGTAATTGAAGTAAAATGCCTATCATATTATCAAATCTTTATGCGCACTACATTAACAGTCGTCTAACAAAAGAACATTACACTATATAGGCCGATCTTAAAGTAGACATACGCAAATTTTGCAAAGACTTCCACAGTCCTTTTGTTTGGCTCAATGGGGTTCTGTTCTAGTTTTGAAATCGAAGGATGGCTCAAATCAAACCCTCATCGCACTAATCACCAACTGGACTTTGGATTAACTACCGAAACCCCTTCCATGCCCATAAATTTTGCGAATTCCTTATCTTTACATCCATATACATACATAACACATACATATTTTTAATCTCTGTTTCATACTGGAAATTATTTTGTCTATATCCTGCATACCTTGCTGAACTGATTTTTATCTCGCATAGAAATGTATATTGAAGGGATGATTGCATGTCCTGCAAAGCAAAAAATATACAAGCTCACAGCGGTGGGAAGGCCCCCCGCATTTAACAAGTCTCCACTGGCATGATACCCAACACCTCCAAATGCACCAACACACACAATGGAGCCAACAATGATAAGGCAACAGAACACCCCGGTGGCCGAAACATAGGACAATATACTCATCTCAGTGATCAGCATTGTCGGCAAGATGACCAAAGCTGTAACTAACACAAATGACTGTCTACCACAGATTAACAACGACCCGAGCTTGATCCCGAATTTCGGAAACAGCTTATACAAGCTATCACTTTCTAATATTATGAGGCCTACGGCAACCAGATACAATTCTGTGCTCAAAATAATTAAGACTATGATTCTGGCCGTTTTACCAAAGGCACGCTCAGCAATGTCAAGGTAGCTCGTAATTGATGGATTAGAATCCATGCATTTCTTTAGCAAGATGGCTGTGTAGAAGGTGATAATGGAAATTAGAAACAAGAGCACCAAGCTTAGCCACCCTCCCCTTGAGAGGGCATAAGGAAGTGTTACAAGACCAGCACCTGAAAAATTAATCAAACAAGGGTAAATAAATTGTAATAGTCCTCCAAAATAGAAACACAATAACATGAGAGTGAAACAAATTTAAATAAACTACTTACCCAGGAAAGCATTTGTTCCATTAAAGCAAGCTTTCAAGAAGCTGGATCCTCTGCTTTGAGTTAGTGGAGTTCTTAACTCATCTGACATGGTTTCTTATGTTGGAGAGAGAGAGAGAGAGAGAGAGTATCTCGGAGGCCATAACTTCTGAAATTATGAGTGTATATATGTATATATATAGAACTTCTATTGAGAGATCTTTTAAATAAGTTTATTTGAGAGACACCCTTGTAGAGCCCATTCAGTATTGTATTTTACTAATTCAAATCGTCTATTTTGTAGATATTCATACAAAGATCATCTCTACAAAAAAATTACTTGAATCCGATATCATTTGACTACTCAATTGAATTATTGAAATTTTAGTACTTTTTTAAAGCACCGTGTTCATTGATTTTGTATAACACAATTAGATATCGAAACGGTTTCTGATTTGTCTAATTTTTTTACAAGGATGATCTATAAATGCAGGCTTAAAAAATAGATAGTTTGAATCGTTGAAAAAATATTTGTAAGGGAAATTATGAAAAATTGATAATGTTGATGCTTATGTATAGCATCAGTAGTGATTAATTTTGGGATTTCTGGGAACATGATCAATAATAAGTTTATTGCATTTGTTGGACTAGCTACCCTAGCTTAAATGGCTTATCACTGTCTACCTAAACTTATCATCATATGCATAAATACAGTGGGCCTTGGACTGTTGTCTCAATGTCTATGTCATGTCCAGCTGGGTGTCCATGCATATGCATGATGCATCACATTCACGTGTGCCCTAATAACTCATATGGAATCTCTGTCTTGTCCAGACCAGGGTTTATTGCCCTCGTCTTGTACTGTGTTTATAGTTCTCTTTGTTTCGTCCTTGATTTCACCTTCAATGATTGCTTGGAAAAAGCCATTAATATTAATAATAAGCCACATAAACAATGCGGTTCAGAAACAAGACATTCCTTTCTTATTTTTTTGGAAATTTGGAAATTTGGCCGTTGCTGTCCCCAAAATGCCTTTTTGATTCTTGGAGCTTTCTCCATATCTACCAAAAAGGGATATGCTGGAATTTTGAAGGATGACCCCGTAGGGACCTCTCTCTTGTGAATTTGAAAGTGCCTCTTATTCTGTTGATTTTTAGAAGAAAATGCAAAGCTCCAATTTATCTTAGCAATTGCCAATAGAAAAGGTTCCAAACATCACAATCAATCTAAGAAAAAGTCCAACCAAAAAACATAAAGAATAAGATATAAAGACAATAAATAAGAAATTTATTTTACACATAATTACATATAGGAACAAGAATTAAAAATTATGTGTATATACATTCCTCCCTCTCCCAAGAAAAACAATAAAAAGAGAAACGCAATCACTAGAGCTGTACCTCTTTATTCAAGTCCATCAAAATTCTCACCTGCCATTGCTAACAGTATTGTAAATTATGGGTTGAGTGGCCTTTGCAGGTAATTGACTTGTATCCCCCACCACGGTTGTACTTGCCGATGAGTTGTAAACGCTAGAATCAGTTCCTTTAGTTGACATATCGATAGTCGTACTGTTTATACCACTTATGTCATCAAATTTCCAGTCAGTCAAGTAACCAGGCTTTGAGGTTACAGTCGCCACTTCGATATCTCCTGAAAGCATTCCCACCACACGGGACATCGATGGTCGTAGCAATGGTGATGCTTGAGTGCACAAAAATGCTATAGCAATTACTCGTTTTACTTCTTCCTCGTTGAATTCGGATAATCTGGAGTCCACCAGTTCAACTTCACGTTTGGTTTCATGCAAGTACCAAGCCTAAAAAGTAAGACCATGAAAGTGCATTAGGAAATGGAGTGAGCTGTATTGGTCCAAAAAGTGTTAGAAGTGACAATTTCTTACCCATTCAAGAAGATAAATCTTTTCTTCATCCAAACTCGGGTCAGAATTTGGCCTACCACTGACAGTTTCTAGGGCCACAACACCAAACGCAAAGACGTCACTCTTCTCTGTAAGGTGTCCACGCATGGCATATTCCGGGGCAAGATACCCACTGCATCATTGACAATAATGTGTACTACTTATCAACATAACATATTTATAAGACAACAGGAAATGAAGAG